GGGGGGGGGGGGGGGGGGGGGGAGGAGGGTCAGGAGGACGTTCAAGAAATCAAGGGTAATGTCATCTTTGTAAATTTTTACTTGACGTTAATGCTTTACTTTCACATAACAATATGACATTCATATGGCGCTCAACCCCGATTAAAGGACACAGGCTCTGAGTGCTTTATAAATACATTAGCAATATATAAATTTAAATGGAACGCTTTGCCCAGTAGCTTAAGAGAGGTAAAACAATTTTATTCACTCAAATGTCAGCTCTTGTCATGTCTGTTTATATTAATGAGAGATATTATTATATCATATACTTAATTTTCCGATCCAGCGGCCATTTGGGTTCTAGCCCTTCGGCTTGTATATCATATATATACACAGACATAATCTTAGAATGAATACAAGGATTTTACCTCTCTTAAACTACTGGGCAAAGCATTTCAGATTTTGAGGCCATGATATACAAATCCCCAAATCCTATAATGACCCCCTAACCCAGACCACACGATTAGTCTCACCCCCCTCCCGTATCTCCACAACAACTTTTGGCTCCATTTATCAATCTATATTAATTGAATTACTTGAATCTAGAACTGGGGTCTTAGGAAGACTGGATGCTCCAAGCTTCCTCGCCCTTCCATTTCAGTGTGGGCAGGCTGATTGTCTCCATCATCAGCTGGTTGTTGTAGTGTCTGATGGAGTCACACAGCCCGCTCTTCCTATCTTCACCAATCTATATGTCTACCTATAGCCCCCCCCCCCGAAGCCCACACATACACCTACCTCTATAATAAGCTCCGTAAAAGGCTTGGTGAGAGCTGTGAGCATCTCGATCTTCATGTCGTCTGCGGCCAGGTTCATCGAGTCCACGATCGCTTTTGTCATGTGATATAAGAAGCTTGTGGCAATTTCCATGGGAAGTAGCACAATGACCGCACTCCAGTTGAACATGTCATGAACCTTTGAGTTTGAGTATTAAAAACATATTAATCAGGAATTGGAGGAGAAACGAAAGTAGTGGGAGA